TTAACTCTCTCTCTCTCTATGGACTGTGTATGTATGCATATCAATAGTGAAAATAATTCAACAGAATAAAATGTACTATTACAGCAATATTTCTTAAACGAAAGATTTTTCTTTCATTCCTACAATATGCATATAATATAGTCCTCCCTCCTAAGTGAAGACGCTGAGAAAATAGAGCAGTGACTTCTGAAAACCTAGAGGAGCAGCAATCTTCGAATGTTTAGCATGCTATTCCTCAGCTCCTGTCAAAGATAAGATGATGCTACAGGACTGACTGGACTATATCGACTAACTACTAGCTTAAAGATAGGGAGTGAAGTAGTTGATGGAGCGTGTTGACTACTTCACTTATCTGGAAAGTTGAACCAGCCAACTCCAGTGGGTTGATTGCTGACGAAATCTCAACACAGATACTGAAGGTTCATTCGGCATACACCAACTTACGCCATCTCTGGTTTAGTAGACGTGATATCCGGCTGGCTGAGATCAAAGGGCATGCGTACTGCTCAGCAGTTCGTTCCGTCCTCCTTTACTTTATGACTGTGAGACATGACCATTGACAGTGGAAGACATGAAAAGACTAGCTAGCTGTTTTTGATCATAGGTGCTTGCGTTTTATCTCCCGTGTTAAGGGCGAGCAATATTGAGGTTAGGCTTCGGTCAAGTGCTAGGTAAGGAAGGGAAATCAATCTATTGACGAGGTTGTGAAGTTGCATGAAATGAGAGAGATGGTTAGGGCATGTGTTACAAATGCCTAGTCTACCTATCGCCTCCCTCTACGGGCAATGTTAACTGATGTAGGATGTATGAGACTGAAAAAGAGCTAGTAGTGGTGAAACGAAAACATGGCTTTATCAGTCAATGAAATCCACAACAATTAGTTCAGGACAGCAGCCACACAGGGAGGTGTAGACTGCTGTCTGGTCGGGATCCTCGGGATGGTAAAAACCAATGAAGGTTGGAGACAATTGGTGATATGGCTGAAAATCGTTCTGAATGACTGGTGCAGATGCATTCACTCACGCTTTGTGATTTGTCATATCCAATAAAATTCTATTGTTCTTCCATATTACCATTCTTTTTCCCTCACACTTCTGTTTATTATCTTTCTCTTACCTCAGCTAGCTAAATTGACACTAGTGTTTAGGATGAAAATCAACATAAAGAGAACAACAAGATCGACATCTTCAATCCTAATATGTCAAGTTAATCAGTGCTGCAATATATCGTTCAGAGACTTGGCAAAAGCATCACCAAAAGTATTTCTAACAAGCTATTGCAGACTTTAATCGACAACCAGCTGCCACCTTCAATGGCTTGAAACTGAAAATCAGATCACTAGCCAGAAAGGATAACCCCAACAAGGAACTCTGATAGTACAACGAACCAACCAAGAAACCTATTGCCCAATAAATACGCAGACAGAAATGGAGATGGACTGGTCATATGCTGAGGAGACTGACTCGTTGAGTGATAATCAAGCGTGTTAGGCCATCAAATGTAACCTGAAAACAATGAATTGTGCGTGGGTCTAACGATGGCATGGAAGAGATCATATGAGGAAGAGGAAAAAACACCACATGGGGAATCCTAGAGCCAGAGTGAAGTAGAGATGTGCTGTTGAAGCCATATAGTTCCACTCGGAACCCAAGGGAATAATAATAATAATACTGGTCAACTGGAAATAATAATAAATAACCTCAGCTAGCGAAGCACCTGACTAGTAATTCCTAGGCCTCTATTGTAAATCCTACCGTGACGCAGATTTTTATTTCACCTTTAATCATTACCGATTATAAACAGATGAATGGATGGACTTCATGTAAATGCCAAACTTTAGCTGAGTAATAATACTATTCATCATACACCTCTCAATCAACCAATCAATCTGGTGGGAAGTCATGACTAGTGTGAACGGAGTACAGTAAGTCGGGTGTGAGGACAAATACTCGCCAGAGATGACATTCGCTAGTGGTCGCGCTATACCGTGAATTGACAGAAGTTGGAATTCATGGACTAGCCACTGGATCTGGTCCCAGTGAGTGGCTTAATGGTCTACGAGCTCGCTAGCCCTGTAACCAGAAGGTCCTGGGTCCGAACCTCCTGTGGTGGGTGCGTACTACTGAAGCGTCCCAATGGTCCTCTAACCGATGTCAGTTCATGATGAAATCCTGGAACCAATCAAATCCCTGCAAACCAACACTTGAATAAAATTATTATTCCCTTGGGTTCCCAGTAGAAACCAGTGCTGCAAAAGCACATCTCCATTTCACGCTGATCTCTGACTACATAATTCCCCCATCAGCTACAACACCCTCCTCCTACTCCTCCAACTCACATAATCTCCTCCATATCACCCTTGGAATCACACACAACCTGGCGTTTCCCATTCGGATTACAGTTGAGGGCTAGCATGGCGTGTAATGTCGCTAGACAGTCTCCTTAGTCGATTTAAGAATAGAACTTGTGCAATGTGGTAGAGTATAACTTCATTGTGGATCAAATTTATTTTGACAATGTCTCACAGTGGTGTTATACAGTAATATTTACTGATGACCACGTTTCGAGCACAATTTATTGCTGCTCATAAACATATCAAGGCACTCATACAACTTTCCAACCTCGTTTATATGATTCCCCTATTTCTCATTTCTTGATTTGATTGGTAGTAATATTTTCTATATTTCTGATATTAGTGATGAGTCATTTCTATTGCACCTGTTGGGTGTAGATTCTATGAAAAAAAGAGTCCTTTAAAGGACCCTGTTGACCCAATTAGACAAAATAATATAATTTACAAAATACCTTGCAATGACTCTGTGAGTGAGGTCAACTACACAGGTCAAACTAGTAGATCAGGCAGGAGTAGTGAGATTATCAGAACATTGTCAGAATTTAGCTAAGGTTAGAATGATTGACCTCACGAAGATAATCAATTCAGAAGAAAATAAACTCAGCAATTGCATTGCATGCACTAACACAAACAATCATAAAGTAGGGTGAGACAAAGTTAAAATTATAAAAAGTAATATACGTAGGTGGAGAGAGAGAGAGATTGATTACTGAATATTTGTTCATAGAATCTACACCCAACAGGTACAATAGAAATAACTCATCACTAATACCAGAAATATGGAAAATATTACTACCAATCAAATGGAAAGATTGGTTGGGAGATAGATTTCTTGTTTCCTTCGTCGTTAGAGTTCTCTTGTTGCTTATATCCTTTCTGATCATCAGTTTTTAATGGGAAATTTAAGAGTAACTGTTATGGTTGAATTGATGAATTTCACATATGCATGATACCAAAAGAACTAAAACTGTAACCCATGATGTGCTTTTTTCATCCATTTACGTTCCCAGTGGAACACAGGACTTCAAGCTAGAGCTATCAAGTTACGGTAGCAGTGGTGTTTATTTTTACGGTCGGTCGGTCGGTTTTCGACAAAGAACTCTGCACATATGTGCGGCAGTTCAAGTCGCCACACTCCATGTAGCACACAAAGCAAGAGAAGAAAGTAGAAGAAATGCATAATATAGACAGTAAACAGAGGTGAGAGACAAAGGAATAGCAATAACGGAGAACAAAAGTTTCATTGGAAATCATAAGTCACAAGGAGTAGATGCATCTGCGCCACTGAGAACGATTTTGAGCCATGTCACCAATTGTTTCCAACCATTGGTTTTTACCGTCCCGAGGACCCCAACCAGGAAGTCTACATCTTCCTACGTGACTGGCTTAGACTAACTGTTGTGGATTTCATTGACTGGTGCCATGTATTCGTTTGACCGCCGCTAGCTCTTTTCCAACCTGGCACTATATCAGCTAACATTGCCCGTCGAGGAAGGCGATGACTAGGCATACGTAATACATATCCTAACCATCTCAGTCGATGTAATTTCACAGTTTCGTCGATTGATTTCCCCACCTTTATTTTTACAGGATGCGTTTGCTAGCCCCCTTGCCCAACATTCCCTCTTTACCAGTCTTATTACTGGCTTAACGAGGTAAAGGAGTGAGTCGGCCGGGGATCGAACCCCGGACCACATGAGGCGCGGTTGGCGAGCATTCTACCGTTGTGCCACCGACGCACAACCCACGATGTTATGTACAGTAATCAAGTGTTGTATATGTATGTGTATGTGCCACTTTTTCAAGCTATTGACAATATTGTGCATAACTGAACCATAGGTCTTCTTTAAACCTATTTTTAGGACACTGGTTAACATATAAACCAACTTATTTATGTGAGACGAAGAAACTCTTCAATTAGTTTAGATAACTGGATAATCTTAATGTAAACTTCATCAGGAAGAGTAACATCAGTTAGAGACTATTGCAAAACTAGGGAGCAGTGAATATAGTCAGAATTCACGGGTGATTGAATCACAGCGGCCCAACTGGTTGAATGGTCAACGGAACTTGGTTTTTTAACATGGAGGCTTCAGGTTTAATCCCTGGTAGAGTCAGGGGTGCGCATTAATGAAGAGTCCCAAATACGGACGAAACACCTCTTCAGTGCTCCCTACTGATTTTCAACGACCTCTCTAACAGATATTGGTTCGTGACGGAAACCTAATAACTGAAAGTGATTCAAATCCCCATGAAAACCCATAATCTAAATTAGATAGTCAGCATAACAAGAGAATATAGCTACAACACATCAACCAGGCGTCGGTAGCACTGAGGTAGAATGCTTGTCGACCACGTCTCATGTGGTCCGGGAATCGATCCCCGGCCGACTCACTGCTTTACCTCGTTAGGCCAGTAGTAAGACTAGTAAAGAGGGAAGGTTGGGCAAGGGGGCTAGCAACCCCATCCTGTAAAAATAAACACCACTGCTACCGTAACTTGATAGCTCTGGCTTGAAGCCCTATGTTCAACTAGGAAAGTAAAGGAATAAAAAAAACATCAACCAGATTGTAAGGTTAAACAAATAACAATTTAAAAGAGAAACATTACTGATTAACAATAAAACATATAGACACAATTAAATTACCATGATAGAACGAAGACCTCTAGCTCCTGTTCGTTGACGTAAGGCTTGTCCAGCAATAGCTTTCAAAGCATCAGGAGTAACTTTCAGTTCACACTAGACACATAACAAATAAATAAAATAAATAAATGTCAAGTATTACGAATTAACAGAAGCTGGAATTCACAGATCATTCAATTCCGGCCCAAGTGATTGAACGGTCAACGAACTTGGCCTCATAACCTGAAAGTCCTGGGTAGGGGGATCATGAGTACATATTGCTGAAGAGTCCCAAACTAGGACAAAACAGATGTCCAGTACTCCTTGCTAGTCATCAATGGATCCACAACTGATATCGATCAATTATACATAGATATCAAAAACTACAGTTTATATCAACAATATATAAACAAAAAGAAACTCCAACCGCGCAATTAGTGCAACCATAATGATCATCAACATAACCATCCTAATCCCAGCGGATAACTGGTACCCTTGACGAGGTCGCCAGGCTTCTATAACCCAATTATCCAACAAGCTATAGTGGTTGGCTCCAAAGGTTTGGTTATAACATACCAGAAAAGTCGATTGCATAGCGATTAGACTAAAGGCAGTTATCATCAAAATGTAAAACGTTGCCACTATGCTGAGTGGTGGACGATGGTGTCTGAGAGCAAAGCCATACTGCCAATCAATAAAAATGTTCCCTTCGGACGACCACCAAGTCAGCTATACTGATCCTTCACTCTGAAGAACAATAGTTAGAAAAGGTCGATCCCAATAATTTTACATCCCGACTCAACTCGCTGCGGTTCGTCGGCGACTCTAAACACCATTTCAATCAGGTCATATGTGACCAGCCGCCTGGGACATGAGGCGATGAAAAAATGCATAAACTAAAACATATTTAGAAATGAAAAAAATAAATAAATAAAATAAAATACCAAATAAACTTACACCATCAATACTAAATAGTAATTGATATTGTTTTAATAGAGCATTACGTGGTTCTGTGAGGATACGTACAAGCATTTCTTCATCTAATGAATGTAATACAGTAATAATTGGAAAACGACCAACAAATTCTGGTATAATACCATAATCAATAAGATCACGAGCTTCAACTTCTTGTAATAGTGAATCACGTTCAATATTTTCTTCATGAGCTGAACTTTCTATATTTTGAAATAAATTCTCAAAACCAGTTGGTGTTGTTGTTCTTAAACCGCCTGAATTGTATGAGGTAGATTTATTCAAAGGAGACGAAAAAGAAGAGGACGAGGAAGAAGAAGGTGATTGTGGAGTGCTCTGATTCATAGAAGTCATATCAACAAATCCAACAGTCTACAAAAGGAGAGAGAGAAAAAATAATAATAAACAAGCTAAGTACGTGAAATCTCATTCTGAAGTGATGCGAACCGTTGAGAACCAATTACTAATACTTTAAAACAATCAGTTCCTTATATGAATTTCAGTCTAGAGGAGGAAGAATTTGAGTTTCTTGAAAAGACATTGAAGAGCAATGGGTACCCTCAAAGGTTCATCAACAAGTATGGAAGATCTGAAGTCACAAATATGTAAAACAAATCACAGTAAGAAAAAAGCCAATCTACTTTCAACTTGATTATAAAGGTGAAAACATTTCAGCGATGATCAACAGAAGGCTGAGCACATCACTAGCCATAGCCTATCTCGCAGCTAAGCTCGTTCCCGTCTATCGAACAACTTGCTCTTTGGTGCAATCAAAAGTCGATAGATATTCTTCTCATGTTAACTCCAACTGTATATACAAATTTACATGTATCTGCAGGAGCAGTTACATTGGAAGAACAGAAAGAAGGGCATATCTACGATTTTCTGAACATGTACCAAAGAGCTTACGTCTAAAGGGAACAAATGCTTTAAACAGTGCCATCGTCAGGCATCTCCTCAACACGGGTCATGAGGTGGACGTCGAAAAGTCATTCAAAATTATCAATAAGCAAAAGAGCTCAATTATCCTTAAGTTTCCTGAAGCCATTTCCATCAAGCGCCTGGAACCTGACTTATGCGTTCAGAAAGAAGCGGTTATCAGTCTTTCTTTGCCCTGGTAACTGGATATTTTTCATCCGAATGCGAGGTGCTGAAAATTTTTCATTGCGTATGATTATTATTGTTGTTCGGAATAGTGTTTAATATTGCATATATATATATATATATATATATCAGTGTATGCGTATATTGATCGATTGATTTTTGCTTAAAATGAACTCTGTGCAAGTATGTTAAATTGTTTTTGTAGATACATTTAATAATGTCTTTGCCCTGTAAGCAACTGACGAGAAGGCAATGAAATAAAAGATGGTACCATTTTATTCTGCTAAAACTGTAGTTGTTGCTTTGTTCAAATTCATTAAGGGGAATAAATGTATGAAATTTCAGTCTAGTCAGTTAGAATTTGATTTGGGTGTCATTATCTATGCCTGTTTGATAGGTACTCACATCAACTAAGTAACTAAATGCATCTTATAAGTCAAGAAAAACAAAAATAAATGAACTGATTAGGCAGTTGGTAAAATGACAGGTGTATATGCAATCTTGATAGGAGTTGATCGCAAGTCTCAACAGCTCAGTCAGCATTGACGTCATTGACTGCACCGCTGGCTGGCTGGATTCAACATAGAACTTGGCACCGAAGTGCAGCAGTTCGAGTTACCACGTTCCAAATAGCACACAAAGGTAGACTAGAAGACGAGTGAAGAGAATCAATAGAGTTTTGACAAGTATCTGAGTGAAACAGAATGAGTAATGGTAGAAAGCAATATGAAAGATTACAGAGACTGAATACATCTGCGTAAGCCATTGACAACGATTTTGAGCCATGTCACCTATTGTCTCCAGCCATTGATTCTTAGAGTCCCGAGAGCCCCAACCCGGATGTCTGCATCTCCCTACCTGACTCAGTTTAACTGTCAAGCATTTCATGGATTGATGAGGCCATGTTTTTGTTTGGCCACCACTTACTCTTTTCCAACCTCCACCTATATCAGCTAGTAATGACCGTCGGGGGGAAGCGATGGTTAGGCATGCGCAGCACGTGACCTAGCTATCTCAATCTATGCAACTTCATAGCCTCTTCGATTGATTTTCCCTCTTTGCCCAACACTCTACGCCTAACGTCAACATTACTTACCTTATTATACCACCTAACGCGAGAAAGAGATCATAGACATCTATGATCAAAAACAGTCAACCTTTTCATGTCTTCAACTCGTATTGGCCATGTTTCAGAGCCATAGAGAAGGACGGAGCGAACTCCTGAGTAGTACACACCTCCCTTGGTCGATAGTCGGATGTCACGCCTACGCCAGAGATGGTGTAAGTTAGCGAAAGCAGCTCGAGCTTTCTGGATCCGTGCTGAGATTTCGTCACCAATCAGTCCGTTGGTGCTGATACAACTTCCCAAATAGGTGAAGTGGTCAACATGTTCTATCACTTCACTCCCTATCACTAAGCTAGGAGTTGACGCAGTCCAGTCCTGTAGCAGCATCTTACATTTTACAGGGGCGAATCGCATGCCAAACATACGAAGATTGCTGCTCAAGGTGTTCAGAAGACTCTGCATTTTGTCAGCGTCCTCCCCTAACACGACTATGTCGTCTGCATATTATAAGTCCATAAGACTATTCCCTGGTAACAAGTCGATTCCTAAGTCGTTAAGTTCAGTTAAGGATACTTCCATTAGCATATCTATGATGAAGTTAAACAGAAATGGGGAAAGTGGACATCCTTGACGGACACCACTGGTTGTTATCAATTCAGATGACAATTCCCCATAAGCCCTTATACTGCTACGCGAGTTTGAGTAGAGTACCTTGATTAGTGCAGTGTACTTCCTTGGCACTCTCTTCACAGTCAAACATTGCCATAGTACCTTTCGATCCACTGCACCGCTAGGTGACTTCGTATTTGAACCTCTAAAGGGACTGCAGTTCTTTACAGCTTGTAGACACACATCAAGCTGAAGAAATCCAATAAGCATGAAATCCAGGTCTAAGGCTTCCTCTAACCAATCAATACTATTTTGAAACAATTAGTTCCCTTTATGAATTTAGACAAAGTAATAAGAAGACGTAATTTGTCTGAATCGTGTAATGTATTTACGCAACACATTTCTAACAATCTCCTCTCACACACACACACACACACGTCATAGGAATATATATGAAATCAATATATAGTTAAGAGGTGAGAAAATAGACTTAGGTCAAGTTAAAACGACATATTGAAGGTCAAAATAACAATGAAGATCACCAAACCAAATAACAGAGGTAATAGTATATCTACCCTAGTATCAGAACAAAGTTCACCAAGGAAAGTAGGTTCAGTGTGATGACGAATTGTTGCTTTGAACGCATAAAGATGGTTTAAACTTCCTAATTGCCAGCTAGGGCTTCCACAAACTTTAGGATACACCCCAAACACGTTTTATAGATAGGTTTAAAAGACGTGTAAACATCAATTTTATGTCCTGTCTCTATAATATGTTTCACAATAGAGGAGCTGGATCGCCTGTCCTCACCATGAATGGGTTCTGGCGATTCCATTTGCTTCTGAAGCGCTTACTTGCAGAGATCGATGAGTCCTCCCTATGTAAATGTGGCCACCCGTTCATTCAAATCAGCAAATATAGTGTGATGTGACATCATTTTTCGCATGTTATAAGGACTTAAATGGATATATCGGCTCCACATTCTCAATTATTATGATCCTAGCTGCATAAAAAGTTTTCTTTACCACAGCGTTCAACCGTTATCAAGTTACCAACCTGCTATGATCACCCACATAGAGTAGCTTGATATATACGTCTTTCTTAGCGGTAAGTTGAAGACTGGGTCTTGGTGTTCTGACCGCTTTATATGTCCTTATGAACTTGTCTGAATAATTATTATCAACCAAAGTTTGTGTCAAGTTTCTTTCTTCTTCATCAAGTGTGTCTTCGGTGCATATTCGTTGGATTCTACTGAAGAGGCACCTTACTAAGGCTCTTTTGTACAGAACAGGGCATAAACTGTGATAATTAAGATACTGTCCTGTCCAGGTAGGTTTTCTAATACATTAGGAAAGTGGATTGCATAGCTATTAGACTAATTTTAATAGTATATTTAGTCCTACAGGCGGTAGAATACTTGTGACCAACAAACGCAAGTGGTTCAATGTTAGATATCGGTCAACAAACTCACTCTTAAACTTCGTTTAGTTAGTGTTAAGTAGCAATAATAGTAATAATAATAATAGCGCTTTATTCTGAAAAAATGCGTTTATACCCAATACAGAATTTTCAACGAGTTCTCTGGCAATATATTTACCCCTTTTGTGTAGAATCTTCGATAATACATCATCTGAAGCAATATTGCTCCATCCGACGTATACTTCAATGCTGCTCCACAATGTTGTTTCCTCGATTTCCTTTGAAAAGCTCCCCTAGCGATGATAGACAGAAATTTATTTGAAATTGTGTGGACGATTACAGAGAGATTGCAACTCATTGTGGTGGTGATTAGAAGATTAGAACAATTTGAAATGTGAAGTAATAAAAACGATGCATTTTGATGGATAGGAAATTTAGATAGATAGCCCAGTGATTTAAGCAAGGTGATCGTGTTAAAATGTACCAGGAAGTTAGATGTGACACTAACAACCTCACCCGATGAAAATAAAACCATTGCTAGTGAAACTTCAAAGGTCAAGCTTGAAGGTCCTATGTTCCACTCGGCACATAAAGAAAGATATTCATCCGTAAGAAAAAGGAACGGTGTACTACGGAGAGAAAGAGAGAGAGTTTTAGTCCCTTATACGATATGATGAAACTGTCTCCTAGTTAGATTAGATATTCTACGTGCTGTTTCATTCTCTAAGCTAAGTGTTTTTACTATGAAGCTTCCATTATATCCTTCAAGACAACACTTTCACAATACTCAAAATTTAAATATAGAAGTGAACTGCTAAACCCCACTCGGTATGAAGAGGTATCCAATAAAACTGTTGACAGTTTCCAAAAGGATATTCTATCTATAACCTACCTTAACGATAACACTTTACATCAATAACTTCAGATGACGGAAACACACAATCCGAGCTCAAAGACAAGAAATGAAGTGGTAAAGTGCCTTGACTATTTCGCTTATCTGGGAAGTTGTATCAGCCTCAAAAATAGACTGATTGCTGATGAAATCTCGCCATGGATTCAAAAGGCTCGTTTAACATCTGCAAAAAAGTTACGTCATCTCCAGCGTAGACGTAATATCCGGCTATCGATCAAAGGGGGTGTGTACTGCACAGTGATTCACTGTATCCTCAATTTA